TTTATGCCTTCCGAGTAAATGTGTTTAATGAGTTTTCCAATTAAACAATGCGTTGTGTCATGTGCATACGCTTGTGTTGGAGCCTGTGCACTTACACTCATTCACACTTGAATTTATGTGTGTGTGTGTGTAAGCAAATTTACTGAACTTTCGTGAAGAAAAAGTAGGCGGCCTCACAAATTAATGCCACAAAACAACAGATACGAAATTGTGTTAATTAGGAAAGTTGCTAAAGTATGGCTTTAGTGTTTTGTTATTCTGTTATTTTGACCTTTCGGGTCTAAATGTTACCTTTTTTTTGTTGTTTTAAATATTGTATTTTGTTAATGGTGCCAACATTTAATTTTGTTATTACTTCAAAATACTTAATGACAACATTTGGTTTATGATGAAAATGCATAACAAAAAATTATTAAATATTTAAATTATTGAGTAAAAGTTTACTATATTATGGAAATTACATAGTTCATATAGCTTATATACTTTTTAATTAAAAACTTTGTCCAACTAATGTAATAACTAACTGTTTTGTCCTTCTTAATGATATAGCAATGAAAAACCATATGAAAGACTAATATGAACGGAGTAAAAAACTGTCAGAAATTGTTGTTTTTTTTTTAATTTATTCTATGTGGTTAAAATGGGTACGAAATAGGCTGCTAGGAATGTATATTCCTACTGCAGAGGAAATAAAACTCTGTAAAGTAGATTCTATACTACTTTTTGTTGGCGCAACAGAGCTTAAAGACCTACTCGAAGCCCAAAAGTGGACACAATAGACCCGATGGTCGCAGTGCCACAACCCCTGCCTTACACAGTGTTCCTTATATTGGATCGAAGCGAGAGTTTTGTTTGTAATTTTAGATGTAAAAAATTTTCATTTTGCATTGAATGCAACAACAATTGACACCTAAAATTACAAACATGACAGCTAAGATTACAACTATGACAGCAAAAATTACAAACAAAACTTTCATGAAAATCCAGTATTAGTAATAAATGTCAAAATTGCGCCTATTAAAAGAAAATATGAGTTTCTGATTACTGATAATGTACAAAGCCATGATTCCGTTAGTCGAAATCAGCGAAAGCAACAGTGAAAAACTTGAACGCTCTAAAAACTTGACCTAAAAATATTTAAGTCATCACTGTGAATAACTTTGGGCTGAGATCGCATGCCAGTTACCAAGAATTGTAACATAAGGAGTTTAGTATTTGAATATCAAAATCCATCTCAGCTAAAATAATGTATTGCTCTTTTGACAAAAAAGTACTTAAGTACTGATTAAGCTTTCTTTTCTTAATCGAAGTCACGCTGTAGTTTCAGTTACTCTTTCTGATCATAATGCAAGACTTGTTTAATCGCCAGTTATTTTAACCACCAAATTTTCTAAATTTCCAGTCAAGGCGTAAATAGGTGTTTTAAGAAAAAGTAAAAGTGCTTAAGTGCACTGGCTCAAATAGAAATAAATAAATATATATAAGTAAATTATTATGAACGCTTCATTCTCACTTGGCAACTCTATTAATTTGAAACAAAGAAAGCATTGGAGAAATATTTGATTACCTATGTTAGTTTTATTTTTTTTATTTATACAATAGAGTAACAAATTTTCCGTTTGCATACAGTTCGGTTAACATTTGACTTTATTTATCTAAACATATAACACCTTTAGCGAAATTATACTGTTTGGTATAAACGAGAAAGAGATGTTAACGGAAGAACAAACCATTGATAATATTATTGAAAAATTGATTGAAGATGCGGGCAATGAAGACTCACCAGATACCCAATTAGCAGCAGTTAAGGGTATCAACTGTGTAATTTTAACGTTAAATATGACCATCCTGGATAAACTCATTGTAAATGGTGCCGTGCCTGTTCTGTTAAAATGCTGTAAACAAAATGTGTCAATAAAACTTAAGGAAGAGGCTATTCGTTTATTGGCTAACATATTAGCTGAACGTACAGATCATATAAAGGTAGTGATCAATGCCGGCATATTACCAATTCTACGAAGTTTGTTAAATTCAACCCAATTGGAGATATGTGAAGAAGCAGCACGTGCTTGTTTAAATATTGTTGTTGCTGACAGAGCTTACAGCGATCAAGCCTTGGAAGTAAATGTAATGCGCGCTATAATATCCTTGCATGACAGATTCCCCGAAACTGATATTATAAATCGCCGCATTGCCTGCATTCTCCGCTATATGTGCCAAGCTAAACTATGCGTTAATTTGGTAAGGATTCTAGCACCAGTTTTACTCTCATTGTTACAACGTCCAGATATGAATGTAAAACTTGATGCTCTATATGCGATAGTTTACACAGCAGATGCTGACATCATTTACGCTACTCTATTCAATAGGGCTAGTGCAGTGGAAAATTTATTACAATTTTTAGATTGCACGGAGGTTAAAGTCTTGGTTGTTTCTTTGAGCGTGATTGGGTGCTTAATAAATGGTTTTCCGAAACCTGCGCAGTTTTTATTAGAAAATAATTTCTTGCGGTATATTGAAATGTATATACAACACGATGATAAACTCATACAAAAAGGTGGACTATTCTGTATTACTGCTTTAATGAGTAATAATGTCGATCAAATTGAAGCAGTAATCAATGCTGGTCTAATAACAAAAATTATGAATTATTTACAAAATGAGGACTACGAACTAAAAGAACAGTCACTTCGGGCACTTTTACACTTTACTGAAGTGGGTTCATGTGAACAAATTTTCACTCTAATTAGTGAAGATTACGTTATACGTTTGTGCACTTTGCTCAAAAATTGTGAAGAACAATTAGTTATACTTGTCCTGCAAAGCATACTGAGTTTGTATAAGTACTGTGGGTTGCTTTTTGAAATAGTGCACAGGATCATCGATGATTGTGATATTACTGATAGAATTGAATATTTGCTAAAGTCTGAAAATGCTGACATAAAAGAATTAACACTAAAATTTATCAATGAGACACTTCGCGAACGGCCATAATAGAAAATTGATACATTTAATATATCTATTTATAGTACTCGCATAAATGTTTTACCTAAACTTTATATGATTTCGAATTCCAATAAAATTTAGAATTGTTTTTGAATACCAAATTTCAAATTGATTTGTATATTCAATTGATTTCAAATTTGTTTGGAACATCAAATCAATTTCGAATAGTTCTTGAACATCACATCGATTTTAAATTGCTTTTGAATATTAATTCAATTTAGAAATATTTATGAATATCAAATCGATTTGAAACTGATTTTGAATATCGAATCTATTTCGAATTAACTTCGAATATAAAATGGATTTCAAATTAATTTTGGATATAAAATCAATTTCAAATAGATTTTAAAAATCAAATCCATTTCAAATTGTTTGTGAATAACAAATCGATTTCCAACTGATTTTAGATATTGAAACGATTTCAAATTAACTATAAAATGGATTTCAAATTGATTTTGAATATAAAATCGATTTTAAATTGATTTTGAATATAACATCGATTTCAAATAGATATTAAAAATCAAATCGATTTCGAATTGTTTTTGAATATCAAATTAACTTCGAATTGTTTTTGAATATCAAATCGATTGAAAATTGATTTTGAATATAAAATCGTTTTCAAATAGATTTTGAATATTAAATCAATTTTGAATTGATTTTGGATATCAATTCAATTTAGAAACGTTCATAAATATATAATCTGTTTCAAATTGATTTTAATTATCAAATTAATTTCGAATTGTTTTGGAATATCAAATCGATTTCAAATAAATTTTAAAAATCAAATCAATTTCAAATTGTTTGCGAATAACAAATCGATTTGAAACTGATTTTGAATATCGAATTAATTTCGAATTAACTTCGAATATGAAATGGATTTCAAATTGATTTTGAATATAAAATCGATTTTAAATTGATTTTGAATATAACATCGATTTCAAATAGATATTAAAAATCAAATCGATTTCGAATTGTTTTTGAATATCAAATTAACTTCGAATTGTTTTTGAATATCAAATCGATTGAAAATTGATTTTGAATATAAAATCGTTTTCAAATAGATTTTGAATATTAAATCAATTTTGAATTGATTTTGGATATCAATTCAATTTAGAAACGTTCATAAATATATAATCTGTTTCAAATTGATTTTAATTATCAAATTAATTTCGAATTGTTTTGGAATATCAAATCGATTTCAAATAAATTTTAAAAATCAAATCAATTTCAAATTGTTTGCGAATAACAAATCGATTTGAAACTGATTTTGAATATCGAATTAATTTCGAATTAACTTCGAATATGAAATGGATTTCAAATTGATTTTGAATATAAAATCGATTTTAAATTGATTTTGAATATAACATCGATTTCAAATAGATATTAAAAATCAAATCGATTTCGAATTGTTTTTGAATATCAAATTAACTTCGAATTGTTTTTGAATATCAAATCGATTGAAAATTGATTTTGAATATAAAATCGTTTTCAAATAGATTTTGAATATTAAATCAATTTTGAATTGAT